CCCCGCCCCCCATCCCCGGCAATAATTCCATGGGTCCATACTACACCACGTCCACACGTCGATCTGTGAGAAACAAAGCCTCCCCTGTAACAGCAAAACTTCCAGGGACAAAACCACGCACTGACCTGTTTTTCCCCGGACCCACTAGGCGAGTCTAAGCGATGTACTTCCGTAAACTGCTTCCATTTCTGGACCGGTCGCCCTGAGTCGGCTCCGTCTACGGCAGCCGATGTGGGTCGCAAGCATTTGAGGAAACGCGGACAAGTGGATTTCCCGCATGTCCCTAGGAGGCAATATGTCCGCGCCCTGCTCGCCATCACATGGGGGCGGCCATGTTGGGACACCGTAGAGAAGACAAGGGGCCGGGTTTGAGGCCAGTAGTCAGGGATGGCTAGAAGGTGAGAAGCCTCTGAAATTACCTCATTTCCTGAATTGGACTCTTGCAGAAAATCGGTAAATGTTCAGAATCTCGAGCTTCACATGGCAAACATGAAGCAGATTAAGTTGCTTTCAGCGGGGTAGGCAGAGAAGTAATGTGGCCGGGGCGTGTATTATCCACTTTGTATACAAAAGAAAAAGTTTTCGAACGGGCAAGTAAGAGTTCACTTGCTGGTATAGCAGCATGGAACACATTCCTGGAAAGGGAAAGACAATACATCCAGTAAATGGACACCCACGGGAAGCTTCTGGCCGGAAAATGGTTTGCAGAAAGAGGTTTTTAAGAAGAGAAAAAGACTTCCAGAAACTGCTCCAGTGTGAGGCCGGCCATCACCAACTAGAGGAAAAGAGCAGCTGGGACAGCCTAGTTGTGATTGGGGTGGGGACTCAAGAAAAGGCCACTGAAAGTAAGGCCAGTAAAGGTCTGGAGTCAATGGGAAGGGCACAACTACAATCCATCCCATTATAATGCGAGGGTGATGATGCAGACCAGTATCAGTAATCCAGGATTTAGGGCATCGGTAATCCAGGATTTGGGGTGTGGGAGATCAAGATTTGGCCACCCTGAAATCTATCTCTTTACCTTGGTTGTTTTCTCTGAGGACATTTGACCTCCCCCACTAACTGCCTAAAGAATTTGACATGGTGGCTCCTTCCTAGAACAGATTTATCATGACTGCTATAAAGATAACGTAGGGTAAATGTTACAATAGAAAAGGCACCAACAAGCCCCTCTTATCAGAAGTTCTGTCTCTCTGGCCACAT